AATTATTATTATACATATTATTAAAAACAAAGCGTAGTTTTACGTTTTACGTACGTACAAACATATACACATACGATTATGGACTGAGGCACTTATGTACTCGACATCTAATAAACACACAACACAACAACTCATTTTGATATATTTTGTGCTTTTATAAAAAGTTTTTGTAGTTCGTTATTATGATAAAATGTTATTTCAAGTAGTATAATGATAACATGGTTTTGTTATTAACGAACAAAGCCAATTGAACAAAGTCTGTGGTACATACAATGTAAAAGGGTTTAATTCCAATACATAATGGAAATAGGTGAATTTTGTTTGGAGAAAATTGGTTTTGTGCATAATTTGTGTATTTGAAAATCTCAAGATTATGAAAAATTAGTTCTTAGATTCGTGAAAATAAAAACGGATATAACCTAATATTCAAGAAACTTAAAAACTCACTTAAACTTGTAGGACATTTAAAAACCAATACTCGATAGAGCAGAATTTTACATTAGTTACTCAATTATATATATATACATATATATATATAGATCACAAGTCAAGAAGAAAAGTGGAACTTCACATTAAGACAATAATGTCAAAATTCTGCCTCCTATCGAGTTTGGTTTTAAAACTGTCCTACCAAGTTTAAGTGTTTTTAAGTTTTCTTGAATATTAGGTTATATCCCGTTTTTATTTTCACATCACGAATCTAAGAACTATTTTTATAATCTTGAGCTTTCCAAAATACACCAAATTATGCACAAACACCAATTTTCTCCAAACAAAAACTCACTCATTCTCCATTATGTATTGGAATTAAACCCTACTAATTGTATGTACCACAGACTTTGTTCAATTGGCTTTGTTCGTTAATAACAAAACCATGTTATCATTATACTACTTGAAATAACATTTTATCATAATAACGAACTACAAAAACTTTTTATAAAAGCACAAAATATATCAAAATGAGTTGTTGTGTTGTGTGTTTATTAGATGTCGAGTACATAAGTGCCTCAGTCCATAATCGTATGTGTATATGTTTGTACGTACGTAAAACGTAAAACTACGCTTTGTTTTTAATAATATGTATAATAATAATTATTATTGTTACGACAGAATAACATAAAATTTATATAAAACTTTACACAAACCTTTCTTTTACATAAGCTACGATTTTAGGAGGGAAGCGAAGAAAATCTTCTAAGACTATGGGCGAGATGTGGCACAAATTATTGTCCAGGTACATAACCGTATATGTCCAGCTTTTGTACATTATATACATTTATTTATTTTCATCTTTTTACCAAAATTGTTACTAAATCTAAATACCAAATCCTTAAGTACAGCACCAAGTACAGTACAACAGTGCACCAAATACTGAGTCAGAGACTGAGACTGAGTAGCACAAAGGACCAACATAATTTTATCGAGTGTCCAGTCAGTGAACAACACATGCTGACTTGCGGGTAAAAACTTAAACAAAAATCTAGAGAATCCACTAGCAAAACCCACACATTGCATATAAATAGTACAACGCAGCATAACAGCATAATATATGTAGAGACGAACGCATCTGTGAACATACAAAATACAAATAGAAAGGATATGCACGGGCAAATGCAAATATACGAACGCTTGTAGGTGAACGTAGCCATCATTAAGCTTTATTTCTTGCGTATGTGCAAGAATAGAAACTCACAATCCCACATACACGTTCTATACTATATTTAGGTACAAGAACATAAGTTCGAACGAATGCACTTGTATTCCTTGGTCCGAAATTTACTTGATTATATTGCACAAATTTTCCCTTCTAGTTGCTGAAGGAGCCAGCACCGCCACCAACACAAGTGGCCAGTATTCTCGTGCAGCCGCTTGAATATGGCAGCTAAGACTTTGGTAGTGGCAGCATGTTTATAATTTGGAAAACAAACTTTAGTATTCATAGTCACATCCACCTCAGCTCATCCAACACTCGATGCAGCATCTGCAATACTTCATCTTTGCTTTAATGGAAACGCAGCTAACTTCATCTTGAGCAGGCAAAATATCGGTAGATTTCAGCTAACATTCAACAACTTACAAATGCAAAAATTTGGTACGCCCGGTTAAATATCAACAAAATTTTACTTTAGCAAATGAGTTTGATATGCACTCAGAATGTTCTGATACATTTGATGTCCCCCAAACCTTAACAATTATTCCTTGTATATGCAATATACAATATAAGTAATATCCTAACAACACACATTTCACATTTATCTTTTATAAAATATTCTTCTGTTTTAGTATTACAACGAACGTTTCAGATACACCAGATTCACCAGATACACGTAATGCGGGATAAGAAGTATGCACAATCATTCTTAGCAAATGCACTTTAAAATTATTCCGGAAACTAGCAAATGATTAAATTTAATAATATAAATTTATAAAATATTTTTATTCATTTTGATTTAATATTCAAGAAACAGAAAATTCGCAAGGTAACAAAATCAAAAGTTCACTTTCTTTAAACATATCGAATATATACTTAATTTATAATTTTTCTTTTTTTTTCAAAACTCCAAGAAACTTGTTTTTATTAATGTATAATAAGCTTTTACAAATAAAATATATCTTCAGTACTAATATTATCAATTTAAAGTTTAAGTTCAATAAGAAAGTTAAGTGCTACTAAATGAGGTAGCTCCTCGATAAGCTGGAAGAACTTTTTTCCAATATTCCTGCAATTTTATTGTCTGGATTAGCTATTTTACAGCCAGCCGAACGCATTGATAAATCTAAGTAACATAATATATTCGACTGATTTCTACCTTTCAAATGTTGTATAACGACAAAAACGACACCCATGCCTTAATCAGGATCTAAATGAGCTTAAATCACAACATTTCAAATGTTCTATTGTTACTTTCTCTAACGTCAGAGTATACAATATATAGCAGCGTTAATAATACGAACCCACCCTATAAGCTAGTGTTCCATAAGAACCAATATTAATTGAGATAGTTTTGTCTCAGTCTAGATAAATATTCCAGATTCATGTTCTAAATATGCAGTACGGAGTAGACCATGTCGCCATTGACTTGGAATATGGGTTGATTAGTTTCTGTTGGTTTGTTTTGAATGGTAGTGTTCATGCAGGTCTGAGTAAACAACTGCTCTTTGCATTTAATACTTATTATTGAAATTGTGAAAACTCAAAAGAAGAACGAACAATTCAACATTTGCACAGAGCTGTCTAGTGGAAGCAATACGTTAGATAAATACTTTCCTGACAAACTGTGGGATTACTCATCAGAATGGAAAGATGATTTGTTAAATTACAAAAAGTCAACAGGTTGAATATCGTTTATCTATATTATCAGACCAACTACAAAATCTCACCTTACAGACCCCTGACTGCATTGCTAGGGTTTTCTTGCGAACTGTACCTAAATATATACATAAATTCAATTTTTAGATTTTATATGTTTTGGATCTGACTAATTGGTCAATATTAAACAATACACAACTTTTTTAAATTACTCTTAAAAAATACATTGAATTTTCATAGATATTGCGAATATAGTCTACAAGATACTCTGAAAATTTATATTTTGTTAAGAATAATGTATTACAACAATAATATTTAATACATTCAGTGTACTGAATTTTTCCAAACTTGTGACATAAATACTCAAATAACTACTTAATAGGCTTTAACTGTGTGGTTTATGTTCTCCGTGATTCTACTAAGCTGTATTTTTAATAATGAATCTAATCAGTTCTGATTAAGATACATTAATTGTATAAACTTATTCTGCAAATGTAAGTGCTTGAAAGGTACATATTCATCTTTTATTAGGAAACAAAAATTTAATCTTTATCCAATCATACTTTCAAATCTTTCAGATTTTAAAATCGATGCCTTATAGTAGTTGATGCAGTTGCCATCCACATGTATGAAGATTATAATCTGAAAGGGTTCTTAAGAACATATTTCGATAAGTCTGTAAGAAGCGTACTATTTTTAAATGTTATACTATAGAGAGACTTCGAAAAGTAGTTAACTACAAAAACAAAAACTTTTTTAAGATTATTTCAATGAACTGAGTTTCTGCTGACCACACAGTTGTTTCAAGTACCCATCAAATACCCATCATTACTGGTCTTGGCATTATTTCTTATATTTAATTATTCGTAAATAATTTTTTTGAGACTGCATGTTACACAATATTTTTATTCATTTTTAAAAAGATTATGCAAAAGATATATATTAAGGCAACTACAAATCATTACTGCAGATATTCCATCAGTGACTGAATTTCGCAACTCTCTTTATAAATTTCTTACACACATTTTTTAATTGTTAAACTTCCGAATATTGCAACGCCTAGGGTCCATATCTTACTTTTGTTCCGGATTGACATTTTTCTGACATTTACTTTGCAACAACAAGAGGAATATAGGCAAAATTTTCAAATGAGGTGGCTCGTTTTTTTTTACACAGGGTAAAGTTCAATAAAATTAATATAGATATTTATACTAAATATTAATATTATATATAAAAATACTCGTGAAGCGAAGAGACTTACAATTGAAAAATTTTCAAAAATATTACAAATAATAAATTAAAATTGTTCAAATTTCAAAGAAAACCTTCATCCTAATCCCTTTTTAGTGGACTCCTCTGTACTAGTATTTTTTTGAAAGCAGCATACAATCGTATGTATGTGCTACGCCTCGCAAGTAGGCCTCCACCATCCGCTCCTTTCTATTAGATTATGAAATGTTTCTTGTATCCTCACTTCTTATTCCTGTTCAGTTCTTAAAATTTTATTTTTTGTTTTGACATAAGCGACATGTTGGACGGCGGTTGATGTATTCAATGTAACATTGCGAGTAGAAGTCTGTGCATACGTAGTCCCGTATTGAAGTGTATGTAGGAATATCTATCGCATATGTAATTTAAGCAAACTATATATAAAAGTATATATGAGCTTACGCATAAGCCTGTTCGTGTGGCTGTACTCATATGTTTACTGGTAAGTGGGGAGTTTCTTTCTACGGATGAATTCCAATTTTCCTCACAATCTCTGACATCAGCACTCAAATGTCCAACAGCCGTCAAACAAAGTTTACTACCCATTTTTCAAAATCGCGTTGCTACAACTACGCCACCAATAACTACCCACACTACCTTTTCCTGACCATTGGTATACTCTTGGAATTTTTTTCCTTTTCAATATCCTTTGAAGTAAAGAAAAAACGCGTCCAACTCTAGTCGTTCTTTAATTTTATTTTTTCTTCACATACCTTTTTTCGACATTTTTTCTACTATTAGTCCGTCACAGAAGTTTATCGAGAACAATTTAGCCTCCAGCTTTTCATGGTAACATTTTTGAAAATAAGATTTGTTTTTTTTTTATGTTTATTTGTTATGCCTACAAAAAAGTAAAAGCAAAAATCTACTGAAATTTTATTATTTTCAATTCGTTTAACTCATGGACTTTTGAATTTTCAAAAATTTAAAGTTGATAATAAATTTTGTGTTTAATGTATCTTATCACATGTGGATTCGGCAACTGCTGATAGCTTAGATATTGAATTAGATCCATTCATATATTCAGAGCTTTCCAAAACACATTTTATGTTAAGTCAAGATTTATTTAAAATTAACTAATTTTTTGAAAAGGTAGAATCAATAAACATATAAAATAAAGTTTCATATAATTTTATTATTAAAAAAATGATTTGCTTCTTTAGACTAAATCGTGAAATGACACATAGAACAGAGATACTGCTCAATTAAAAAATTCATATATAGTATATATTATATTATATTTTTATATTACACCTATATTTGAACATTTTTAAATGTTTTAAACTTTACTGACTATATAGAAAGCCTCAACAGCGAAGTAACGGAGTTATTGGATAATTTAAAGAAAAATATCAAGAAGTGATATTTTATCAAGACAATATATTGAATCTTACTCCAATAACTCCTAGCTGTTCGCAGATACTAAAATGATGTGATAAAAAATGATATTTTAGGAATAGAATATATTGAGTCTTACATCGTTAGGCTTCAATAACTCCTAGCTATTCGCAGACTCTAAAAGATTGCTTTAGTTTCGTGAATAGAGAGAAAGACATTCTCTCTATTTTTCTGATCTCTCCTCAATGGGAAAGACATCGTTAGGCTTCAGTAACTCCTAGGTATACGCAGATACTAAAGGAATGCTTTAGTTTCATGAATAGATCCGAAGCAATGTCTTTCTCTCTATTTTTTTGATCTCCCCTCAATGGGAAAGACTTGGAAATGCCAGAAAAGCGTTTTAACGATTATTTTGTCTTTAAGCAATGAATTGTATGTTGATGAATAAATTGTATATTTAAAACTTTGTTTTCTAGCAGACTAACTTAAGACTTTGTGAGTGATATGTCAAAACTTTGAACAAAGTTTTATATATGAAAAAGTTTTGTTAGTCATCATCATTATCATGAATGGCGCAACGATCCTATTTGAGTCTTGGCCTCCCTCTGTAATTGCCTGTATGTATCTCTGTCGCTGATTAGAGTTCTCCAGTTTATTTTTCTAAACAGCTCACCATTTACTCAACGTTGTTTACTCACTAAAATCTTAGTAACATAGTGGAAATTAGATTTTCGCAATTTGCGTAAGGCTAAACTAATGCTAATGTTCTAATAGTGTTAAATTTTTTTTCCATGCTTTCAAACCTTAACTGAACTGAAAACCGAATCCTAAAAGGAACCGATATTTTTATCGGAATGGAAGCAGTAATCGGACAGTCAAATTAATATATAGCAAAACATGTGTTATCTGACAAATATCGTTATGTGATTAGTTATTAAAATTTAAAATTATCATAACCTAATACATTATTGTATTGAAAATATCGAAACCTTATTCCATTTCATTTTTAACACATGTATGACAGCTCAAAGCTAAACAATCTCTACGTGCCATTCATAATAATTAAAGCCAACATATTTTCTAGCTCACAACTTTATTAAAAAAAAATAAAATAAAAATCATCACATTTATCTTAACTTAATAACAAAAATAATTAACAGTGATAAAAAGTTCTAAAAGAGCAGAGAAAAACTGAGACCAGGCAGAGCAAATGCTTAATTGAATGACCTTTATTCTGTTTTCTTAATGGTTACAGCTATGTAGAATTTAAGTGTTTAGGTGTTGAAGCATAGTACTCTGATCCCAAAAATTGATCGTTGGAAAAATTTCCATCAAAACTATTTTTTTATATTTATTTCTATTACATTCTACCTAAAAACTCAAATTATTTTTTTCTAATTTATTTTTTAAATTAACAGTTAATATAAGTATCTAAATATAAATAATTTTAATTATCGATTTTAATTATACATTTTATTATTTACAAAAAGTGCAATTTATTATCTTTACATCGCAGGGCCTAAGACATGGCTATCAAAAAATTGATCTAGAATGCAAATTTTTATTCACCATGGATTCGTATCTATTAGAATAATCCTTTAAAAAAACTTTTTTCGAGCACAGATATTGTTATTTAAAAGAGGAGTTCATAAAAAAAAATGTCAGCCAAATCGGAAGTGATGAGTTCAAAATCTGTTTCATTTATATAAAAATGGTCCATGTGTAGAAATTATTTTTGTTATCGGTATGTATAAAAGCTGAAGGTAATATTTTGTAATAACATTATCAAGTAAATGTTAATAATAAAATAGGAAAACAAAAATATACCAGTGTAGTATTATTTTTACTGTCCTTAGATTATATTGTCTTCCACTGGATATATCACTGCCCGATCTGATACAGATGTGAACTAAACGAATGTTGTACATAAAATGTTATATATGGAAAGTTAAAGGAAATTGTTTTTTGAAAAAACTATAGTATGTTAGCACTATGATCTATGACCTCATAAACAACCTATTGTGGATTGTAAAAGATTAAAAAGAAAAGAATACATTATTCTTTATCTGTTGGATGCTTATCTGCATTTATAGTTATATATGCAACATTATTTATATTTTTTTCCTGGGGTTCACTTCCAATATATGAATTCTTTAATCAATGCAAGTCGCCATTAGTAATTTTAATTTTATTCAATGGATGAACGAGACCAAAATAGTACTCCTGAAGAAAATTCAATTAATATTTATATATTTTGGGAATGCGCACACTAATGGTACTCTCTCAAATCAAATGCAATATATGTATATTCGGTCAAAAAGATATGCTTTGCTGCAAAGTATATTTCCATAAAATCATCTAAATAACTTATCAGAATTTAACGGAGGTGTTATAAGAGTGGATCATCCAAATGGACACAGACACTATTGTGTAAAAGTGCTTTAGACACCAACTCACATTTGATCAGGCAAAGAAGAAGAAAACGATAATATATCTAATAATATACACCTATACTCCTCCAATATTTGATTTCGATAAAAGTCATTCGATTGGCATTTCAAGTCATTTGAGCAGACCTCTAATATCTATTATGTTGTATGAATTTTATCAGAAATATCTACGTAACCCAAATTATAACTCAAATGTGGTTAGAGAAGCATATTAAGATTTTTCGTAATTGATATGAAAAACTTCGATTCAATAAAAGTGATGAGAGAAAAACAATATTTAAGTTATTTTATTCATTGGGTTAAGGGTGCATTAATTTAAAAACTTGTCATCCTTGAACTTGCACTTGACGCCTTGTAATGCGATCTGATTTATAAGTTTATTTTTCTGAATTTTTTGCTAGAATTTTGTGTACATTCATTCATTAAAGTTACGAGCTCTGCTGGATGAGGAAGAAGAAAAGGAAAACTCTTCCAATAGTTAAAAAGTCGTTAGTTTGGTACATTCATATGCGACTACGACTACGAGTACGAGTATTCGAAATCTGTCTGTGCCTGTGCATAAGCGCACATTCAAACGATTCAAACGATACTTTTATGGGACGGAAGCCAGGGACAAAAGGGGGATAGTTTCTTTTTATATTACTCCAAAGTATAGATAAATAACATTTTTCTTGATTTTTTCTTGTTTTCGCTTAGTTTTTTCTCATTTCATATTACACTTTTGTACATAAAACTTTTTATTGCTCATGTATATGTAAAAAGTATATTGAACTTTCCTTTTCAATGGAATTTCTAGGTCAAGGAAACTTTTGGAATAAGACTAGAATATAAAAAAAAAACAATAAAAATACTATTTAACTTATTCAATTACTAATTCCTTTTTTTTATTTCTTGCAACATTTTACTTTAATAATGTCATTTTCATATCCTTTATTCGTACATGTATCGATGTGAATGAGATATTATGTTTGAGGTCTCGATTACTTAGTAATTTCTAATTATTAATTTATTAAGTTGTAAGCTTATTAATAATATATTTAAAATAATTAATCACTTTAAATATTTGTATATCATTTAAAAAACCATTATAATTGACATGTTATATATGTCAACATTATCAGATAAATTAATAGGAAATAAAATATAATATACGTAAAGTACTCCCAAAAATATTCTAATTAATTCAACACATATAACATTTTCTAATTAATTAAAAGTTAGAATGGTTAGAACATAAACTTATTTCAAAAACATACAAAAAAAAATTATTTTTTCTGGTATATTGAAATAATTGTACTCATAAAAACATATAAATTTATTTAATTAAAAATAAATGTGTGTATGAAAAAAAAAAATTAATTATATCAAATAATTATAACATCTTTCCAATTGTGAGTTTTTAAAATTTTATAAAAAAAAGTATTATTTGTACATACATATATGCTACAAAAATGTGAATTAATTCACAGGTCACAAACCTTGCTTTGATATACTTATTTTATATCTTATCCAGTACTCTAAAATATCAAACATAAATTATTTGAGATACCATAGCTCAATTTTATTCACCATTTAAGTTAATGAAAACAACCTCGGATAAATTTTTTACATCAGATAAATAGTTGCTTTTCTATCTGAACTATCACCATTAAAAAATGTGATTAAAAACGTTGATACCTTCAGATTTTTGAAATTTGGCGTAAAGTATTCATCTACAGTAATTATGTAAATGAAAGGATGTTATTTGAATACTACAGA